AAAAGAAGGCGTTAATACAAGAATGATGAGAATGAGTTACAAGAACGAGGTTGAGACAAGCTAAGGAAAGGTATGCAGGGCAATATATGGAATGAAGGAATTCGCGACTGCGATATTTTATCGCACCGCTTAGACTAAGCTCAATTTATTTGCGTTTCATTCGCGGAAAGCCCATTTCTGAATGGACTTTCACGGATATCATTCCTGAATACATGTTTGAAAGCTTCCATACATACACTACCATTTTGAACCATATGACCCATCGTTGCAGAATATGTCCTGTTCCACGTTGTAGAAATTGAAAAGAACTGGTTAGAAGTGAATTTGTTGAGGCAGACGAGCAACGAGATGCACACTGACCTGACATTTCATGAAGATAAGAACGAAGGAGGTCAATAGTCATCAGGTTGGTGGTGAATTTTTCGCACTGTTTTTTGCACATTTTTTTGCACATAGGTCATTGAACAAAGTTAATAGTTCTGTGCGAATATGATATACACTGTCAACCATCTCCTTTCTTATAGTTTCAAAAGTAAGCTCTCATGCAATGTTCCACAGCTCTGGCTCGGCAAAGCTAGAACCTGGTCAAGCTGGGTATCGGCTTTCGGGAAAAGATAAAGCAAATATGAGCACCCGACAGTCTCAATAAATTAGAGAGTTATGTATTAACATTTTAGTTTATAGATGAGAAACTAGTCTCAAAGTATTCTCGATTTTCTTCAGATTCGTCCCATGCATGCACATCAGTTTTGAAAAGTCAAGACGGGGCCAAATTGGCGGCATGCTTCAGCACAGCGGAAGGGAATTAAAAATTACGCAAACAAACAAAACTCTTGATTACAACTGTGGAGCAGGATACGACACAGATATGGTGTTATGGTCAAATACTTATAAAAACTCAATAGAAGCCTTGCCCAACTTTTTTTGAATTAGCCGGAACCGTAACAGCTGAGAGTGTCTTCATACCGTCGGCAACCGCAGTTAGTCGCCCGTAGCCGCTTTCGCGCTATCCCAGTATTCCAAGCCCTTTACAAACGTTGAGTATTCTGAAGCTTTTCTACACGTCAAAAGATTATGCTATTTGTAATCAGCATGCCGAATAACTGATTCGCGGCTTCAATATTAGATCCCGGATAGTGGAAGAGTGCGGAAAGGCAATTAGCGGTGGCTGCTGGCACGGTATGAAGTATACTTTGGACCGAATCGAATGATTATTCGATTATTCGAATAAATCATTCGAATGCGAATGATTCGAAAATTCGAATATTCGAAAATCTGAGATTTCGAATAATATTCGACAGTCGAAAATTGGAAAAATTTCATTTTCGAATATTATTCGAAAGTCGAATATTCGAAATTCTCAACTTTCGAATATTATTCGAGTGGAATATTCGATGGTCATTAATTCGATCATTCGATGTCCATGAAATATTCGAATATTCGATGAGCTCCGAATATTCGAAAATTCGATAAGAATTGACTATTCAAAAATTCGAAGCATCGAATATTCGGAAATTCGATATCCACAACATATAGGGAGTGTCCCAAGGGTATGTACAAACTGTTTAATCGCTAATACCTCTCACGAAGTCTCTTGCCAACCTTTAAGCAACATCCTGTAGGGATGGCTTCAGCTTACAAATACAGCAGAAAGCAAATCACCTTTATTTTTCTTGTTGTGTTATCACGGTATGAACTTAGCATATAGAGCAACTGCGAAATGAAACATCCAAAAGAGTTTCTCCAACAAAAAAGAGATTTCAGATCTATGTAGCCGGATTTTACGTATGTTCAACTACGCACGGGCTTTTAAGCCTTTTAAATGTGCATTCTCTTTTTTGTAAAGCGTTGGAAAACATCTGTTATGGTGTACCTGGCATAAGTTGCAAAAGACATTACGGTTGAGTGCAAATCCTTTATATAGTGAGTGTCTTTAGAAGCCTAGTGTAAGATCGGCCTTTTTGTTTCTCATTTTTGGGCAAACGCTCTTGATATCTCAAAACCCTCCTCAGTTTTCCTACGGTAATTTACAACAGTGAAAAGCGATCGATACATCGCTTCATACTGTAAGTCTAGGTTGATGTCAGCACACATCACATACTGTTGGGACTCAGTCCACAACTCTCAATGAGGATAAATAATCTTCTTTGATTTTTGAAATTCCTTTACAACCGTCACGTACGTTTTTCGGTTCTTAAAGGCAGCGTCCCAAAAGATGGGTCCGGGAATTTGTGGCGATGTTAAATTGGACCCACTACCTAAGCGGTGACGAAGTTCGGAGCGAAAAAGAGGGTCTGGTGAGCTTGAAAATTGCTCCCAAAGTGGCCCGTCTTACGGCAGACCCGAATGCCGCTCGCACAGCGAAATCGAACAGCAAGGCCAGAGAACGCATAGCGCACACAGTCATGAGTGCAGGGTCCCGCAACGACTCTGCGTCTCTACCCTGCATGCATCTCGTACTCACGAGCCTACCGTAAGATCCGGGCCACTTACGGGGCAAATTTTAGGCCTGGTAGCCCCCTTTTTCGCTCCGAACTTCAGTCATCGCTTAGGTGGGGGGACTACTTTGAAGGAAGCGGCTCGACAGATTTTGCATTTCCACCTTTTTGCATGTTTTGGGCCCTCTCGACCCGTAGATCCCGAATCTGAGCTTCAAAAGGGGTGAAAAGGCCCTTTTCGGAGCGTTTTTTTCACGTTCCAAAAGGCAGCTCGGACGAGAATTTTCAAAGGAAAGTCGGGAGGCCCTGGCACGAAGACCCTGCTGCCTGTAATTTTGGCTTTGTATAACATGCACAATGCGGGAAAGCTGTTGGGGGGTCCCGCGCCGTCTAACGGAGAATACTCGTCCGAACAAGGTGTTAGGGGAGCGAAAGGAGGAAGGGGAGCGGCGCTTGGGCCGCCCTCCTGGCTTGCAGAGTTCACATTTTCGGCGCGGAGTTGCTGTTTTGGTTCACTTGGAGGGCCTCCTATCCATCTGTGTCAAAATCTGAGGTAGGTCAATCTGCCGAGCCGCTGCCTTTAACATCGCCACAATCGGGCTGCAACTGAACCGTTTTTTCGTTGTAAATTGAAACATAAAAAAATGTCTATACCTGAAAAAATTTATTCTGAGATGTTTTGGTCTCTCACAGGTAGTCTCACTGACATAATTTATTCGCATAGTATTCGAAAATCGAATGATATTCGAAAATCGAATATTATTCGAGAACCGAATAATATTCGAAATTCGAATATCGAATGGTATTCGATATTCGAATATTATTCGATTCGAAAACTTTCATTTTCGAATAATATTCGATAGTCGAATATTCGAAAATTTTGATTTTCGAATAAAATTCGATAGTCGAATATTCGAAGTTTTCAATTTTCGAATAATATTCGATAGTCGAATATTCGAAAATTTTGATTTTCGAATATTATTCGATATTCGAATATTCGAAAAAATTTTCGAATTTCCCAAAGTATAGTATGAAGGCAGCCTGAGTACCAGCTGAGCTGACCAAACCCTTTGCTCACATGATTTTTCTGAAATTTTACATGCCGCCGAATCCATGACCGCAGACCGGCCATAGTTTGCATAACATGCGCTGCGCAACAAAACGCTTGTACCGGTACGAATCGCCATGGTACAAATCGTACTCTGGTGACAGTTCAGCAGCGCCGCGGCGCGCGTTCATCGCAATCTCCGGCCATTCCATGCGGTCGACGACTCGATGGGAAGTATCATCATCCAAAAAGATTCATACAAGTAAAAACAGTTCTATTATGTTTCCTCTTGGCTTTTTATAGCCATCAAAAAACTTTAATTGGCGGCGCAATCTGCTCCTTAGCGCGCCATAAGCAAACGCGCGCGAATTCCTCATTTTCGTCAATGTTGATCCTCACCTGTTTCCTTCGATCTTCAAGCGTATATGCTTGTACTTTTTTCCTTTCTCTACCCTTCTCTTTAGGCAACAATGGCCTAAGAAGCTGCTTTCACGGAGGGCGCCCATTACTTGTGGGTCCAATTATCCTCGCCGCGCGCGGGCAACTCGTACGACATTTAACAACAACATCAACAAAGAATGAATTTAGAAGATAGATGCGAGGGTTCCACCGATCTATTGAATTCTGGTCAGTGTACCCTACGTGTTGTCCGCGCTGGAGCTGGCGTGGTTGCTGTCGCAGCACACTCACAAGTAATATAACACACCCTGTTTCAACTCCTATGCCATCTATTCTGACGGTTAGCGACAGCCTAGATAGAAAAAAGACAAAGAGAAATAATGAAGGTGCTCAAAAAGGTCGAAGACCGTGAATATTTCTCAAACTCAAAATGTTTTGCTCCTTGGTTCCAGCTGGTCCCGAGCCCTGCCACTGCTGTCGATACATGAAGGCATTGCTGGACTCTACTATTGCAGAGAGATATCCGCATAGAAATGCGCGCATTTCGGCGAAAGTGAGGGCTTCCTTTAAGATAGCCTATTCGAGAGCACGCATGCCTATCTTGACTTTATACATATATTCAGCACAGCATGAGCAAATTTAGCTCATACCCAACTTTCACTAATGCAGCGAAACATTTCCCAAAACTGATCATTTACGTCACCTGTGCTGCCCATGACGTGATTGCATCAAAAACTCTAAAATCATATTTACATGCGTTTCTGTCACTTTTCTAGTGATGGTATGATTTATTGATCAAATTCCCCAGTTAGGGAAATTAATTAACAGGCTTCTTTTTCACCATCATATAAACTCATATGATTTCCACGTACTCGATCGTAATGTAAATTTCCAATGTGAAACTATCATCTACACTGCTTGCACTCATCAATCGAAGTTTGGACATCATTACGATCACTGCTTGAGAATCGCTTTTTACTGTTGAGCACTCCAGTCTCTAATAACACGTCTAGACAATCTTATACCGAGAAAAGCTCTAAGAAGCAAAACTTTACTTCTCTGGAATTAATGAATAAATGAAAACTTTACGTGTAAACATTCTTTTGAAATCTTGAAGTTGAAGACCGAGAACAATTGCTGCATACCGCTGGTAGACATGATGGTGATGAATCGCTCATTCAAGAAGACTTCTTGTGGTGCCATTTTTGCTTTTTCGGTAAGTTCCTTTTCGCTATTGTTTAACAAAGTCTGCCTTACCTAGAATTTGCTCAACCGAGTACGCCTTTATTCTTCTGTGGCCTTGTCGAGGTTTGGGGATGGATTTCTCAGCCCGTGAATGAATCATTTGCGCTCCGGGCAGGGAGCGCCCAGAGTGCCTGGAAACTGGCTTCTGCATGCGGCCGTTCGTGGGTTCCGTAACCCAGTGGGTAGGCCTTAACCCAATGGGTTCCGGAAAATACTAGTTTTTTTGATACCGATCTCGTAAACTACTCAATGGGTTCCGGAACCCACTCGGATCATTGATGAACGACCACTGTGGTTTCCACCTCCTCACAATCTTTGCTAGATTGCGGGTTTCTAGTATCATCATCAGGGCCTTGATCAAAGTCTGGCGCGGTTGGCGGATCAAAAGAGGATCTTGTTTGGGAGAGATATGGAATGAGGAGTATATCACATGCATGCATACTATCCCACAAACGATCTCAGTTGTGTAGTCGGTCATCCGAGTGACGTGCAATTCCTCGCCGTGAACTGTACGAGTGCTCAGTTTTGATCCCAAGGAGGTAGTTAAGAGGCAGGTAATATTCAAAAATGCGTACGAGTGCCGCTGGACGGTAGAGGACGCTATGTCGCCGATGAACAGATACGCGAGCAATGGGTACGGGCTTCAAATTGTGAAATGCAAAAAATTTGCTCTGGATCAGTGACGGGCGCAGCCAGGGCTCGGCTTAGCTGGCACCGGGTCACTGGATATCGTTTTTGGGAAAAAAAGCAAAGATATCGTTTTGGTGGCCAAAAGACATGGAATTTGCGACGTTTTTTAGGGTTTATTACGTTTAGGGTTTAGGGTCAAAGGGGACTTGTAAAATTTTGGGAAAGTCAAGGGAGACTTCGTTTTGAAATTTTACTGCTGCCAGTTCCTGCCGAGCCCTGGGCGCAGCTTGTTGGCGACATCACGTCCTTGGTTCTGAGTGAAATGTTTAATGTTTTTTCTGCCTGTAACTTATTCGCCATATTTATCTGTATTGATAGTCATTGTCATCGCTAGTGCATTCTATGAACAAGGTTGTTGGGTACTCTTCCGTTACTCGGACCCAATTTTTCGGAGAGTTCTCATAAAACTCGTCCTTGATCTAGAAAATATTCCTCATAATCTGTGCATCGTTCTGCTACATGTAAAAAAATTAGCATGTTTTTGTTTAGTTTGACATGTTCCTTCAAGCTAAAAAGTGTCAGTTTTTTTTTACATAGAGGCACAACACTCCAAAACTTGTGTTAAAACATCATGCGTTTTCAGCAATGATACATAATAAACTTCCTTTTCAAGTTTCTCCCACGCAGTTCAGCAAAGCTGACCAACACAGTACTAAAAATTTTATCCTAGTTTTGTAATATGATTAGACAAGACAAAAGAGAACTTAGGAAGTTTGAGATAATAATAATTAGAACTATGTGTTTGTTGTCAAAACGCACTTTCTTAGCAAAATAATGGCTTTTAACTGCTCCTAACTATCTGCTTAGCAGATATGGAATACTGATTATAAGTCAGCGTTTCATGCTGCATCTAATGGTGTGCACATTGTTGGGATCGGCCATTTCGAGTTCCGACCATTCTCTTGTTAGTTCGAGCCTGAGACTGAACAGTGTTGTCATTTGCTGCTCCAGAATCCCGCATTCGTTTCTAAGGGTAACCGCTAAGTTTCCAATGACGTATACTGTAACAAAAAATGTCATTTTAGTGTTCTTCCTCATTTTCCTTTATCATTTTATATATGGCTCATCTTTTGAAACACATTTTATCCCGTGTCTTTGATTAAGCCCATCCCCGCTGTTGATCATGCCTGACCTGTTGATCCTGCTGGTAGATTATAGTAGTGCTCATTAACTAGTAGTTTGCATCTCAAATAAGGTATTCCACCATCACTCACTACAATCTTCATGTGTATTTTTAGGTGCTGATGTATGCTTTGATATCGATGGGAATAATCGAATCGATGCAAAAAGAGCACATGAAATTTGTTTCAAGAATAGGATTTGGAAGCTCTGCTTTGCCAGCAAAGTAGGTTGAATTTTTCATGATCTGTGTGAGCAGATAGCTATAATTCACGTGTAGGCATAAAACCGTGAGCAAGCCAGGCGATTGTCAATTCTCGCACCACATAACTGATTGTGGTTTCTTTCACTTAGAAAGATGCTTTAGATTACTTCCAAGATTCCACCTCCGAGCTGAAAGGATTATTCTGCTCGGAGAAATCATCCCAGTGCGCACAATGTTCAAAGGGAATTTGTCTCAGGCTTTCATTAGGTCCCTTTTTGTTAAATTTAATGACCTGAATTCGAAAGAGCATGGAAGAAGGACTTTTTGCTTAGGGATAAGCCAGAAAGAGAATTCGTGAGTCCAAGAATGTTTGAGTCGGAAGGCCAAACACTGTTTGTTCATATGTGACCCACATTCGAAGTTTGACGGGCTGCGCAAAATCCATTTTTTGGTCTATTTCATCCACCTTTTGATGATAGTCGTCCCCATATTTTCTTGTCCCATTGTGATCGTTTCCGACTTCGGTTCTTAGTCAAACACGATCAAGCTTGAAGGTTTATTGAATGCAGTCGTCATGGCAACCAAAATCGCAGTGTTTTAAGATTTTGAAAAAAACATGCTTGCTTTTTAGAAAGCAGCTTTTCGTTTCACCATGGTACTGTCACCAAAAAGGGTAAGCCACAGTATGCCCTAATCCCAATGAGGCCATAGTTAGCATGGAGTAAGTCCGTTTTGCAAGGGTATTGCTTCACGTCTACGGCTAGCAAGTCTGCCCCTCCTCAATTCCTTCGCTCTCTGTGACAGCGCGCGTGCATCGCAAACCGCTAGCGTTCGGCCTGATCCCGATTGGGGCAGATACCTACCATCGGCTCCCCGATTGCTGCGAGGGCTCGAGATGGTCAACCGATAATCAATTTATCAGCTATGTTTTAGCACAGGGCAACCGCAACGCTGATACGCTCGCCGGGCCCCACGCCCCCGAAAAAATTTTTTTATAGGGCTAAATTGAATTTTTAAAAATTTTCAAAAATTTGAAAACAATCTCCATTCAGCTACAAGTAATATTCTCTGAGAATATTCTTAAATGTAGTTCTGAATTGCTACGTTTAACAACGTAATGCAGACTTGGTTTGTGCAATTGCACAAACTGGAGGAACTGCTATATTCCAATGTTCTTACCAATAATGTGTCCACTGTTTTTTTTTGAATCTGAATAGTTTTGCGCATGTTTTGATAAAACTTCAGAGAACATAAGGAGGTCTTATCTAATACCTAAATGTGTATCTCATGATGTACGGAAAAAGTTATTGAGGACGAACTTCAGTCACATTGAGGAAAATTTATCTCAACACTTAAATTGAGAAAATTCGAAATCTTGAAAAAAGAAAACTATTCATGTCTGAATATCTCTTTTTTTTCCATTGCCTCGGTGTGTGAGAAGAACTTAGAATTTTAGATATTTTAGGTTGTGCACTTTTGTTGATCTGTTCTAACAAAAACGTAGGCTTCTTGTAGAATTTAGACGTCTAGAAGGAAAGCTTGGCCGAGCTTTGATTTCTGTCGGTGAATTCAGCGGATGCGAAAGTTTCATTAGCTATTTTTTTGTGCTGACTCTGGTTTAGTGAAAAGCTCGTAGTCTTTTCTGTAAAGAAATATTGCGAATCTATCATATCGTATAGAAAGGTAGCATTGTTCGGTATGTGGAACAGAATTTGATTGAAAATTTGAGGGTGAAAGCTTTGAAAACAAGTTACTCTGATACATGTCGTTTTTTCTAGCCAGACTTTTTTCTTCAAATCATCTAAGTTTTGAATTGCACAAAAATATGCGATTATGGATTCAAAATGGGTTCTCCTCATTCGCGAATTTAGCTCGATAGACTGATTGCGTTATGGAAGCTTTGAATCTACAGAAGTGTTAATTCTGTTTTTCCTTCGAAAAGAAAAAAATTTTGTTTTTGTATCAAGTGAAATCAACTGTGACCTTTTGTAGAAAAAACAGATGTTTAGCAATGGTTTCAATTGTCGAATCATCCTCTAAAAATTTTTCAATCTTTGGAAAGTGTAAAAAGTTGACTTGGTGTTCTGTCCTTTTAAAAAGGTCTTCTATCTCTCAAAAGCAAAGTATTCCTTAGAGCACGATCTGGCCAAAGAAGAGGATGCTTTGACGCATGATAAACCCCGAATGTGATGAGAAATTTGAAAATTTTCGTGAACCCTGGAAAAAATTTGATTTCAAGTTGAGATTCAAGATTGGCACTGTCAAAAACTGCATGTAATATTTGATATATAACCAGCGAGGTTCTTTTCGATCAAGATCATTTCTGTGATTGGTGGGAATTTTGAAAAAAAATTGAAAAAGAATAAAAGCTTTTTTTGAAATGCAGTTTGATTTGATGTTTTCATAGATCTACTGAACTGAGAGCTGAGAGAATGCTTGCTATTTCATTTCGAAAGTGGATGTGTAATCATAATGGAGGTCGCGTAAGCGCTTCTATTGATTTTCTCTTATTTTGCGCTTCTGAGGTAAATTCTACAATAATCTGACGGTTTTCTTTTCAAAAAAATTTTTTCAGATACATTTGAACAGAGTAAAATTGATACCAAGGCGCATTTTGTCAGAGTATCTCAAATGTAGAAAGCGGTTTGATTTAGTTTGAGTGGTGTTTTTCTTATAGCAAAAAAAAATTCATTTGACATAAGCAAGCTCTGATACGAACAAGATTCTGTTCAATAATGAGAAGAAATTCCTAGCATTAAGACCATTGGAAACTATGGATGAAAGGTCCAATTGTTCTTTTCCAGAAGAAAGTTTCTGAAGAGTTTTCAACTTAAGCAGAAAAAATCTCATTGTCAGCGAAAATTTTCTCTGAATCTCTATTTCATGTTCAGTACAAGTATGATAACCAAATGAAACTTTTCTCTAAATCTAGATTAAAAGGAAAGCACATATTTCTGAAAATCTGTATGAAATGATGAGGAGATTCTCTGAAGTGGTAGATAAATTTGGAGACTAACAAGATTTGCATAAGTGAGCTTGCTTTTTTTCTTTTGGAGATAGTGCACAAATACGCGTTGTAAAGCAAAATTCTGATGCTGTCTGTACTCCTTTCTTTTTTTGTAAGATAACTGAGATGAAAAATGTTTTGTTAGACATTGGCACTACATCATTACAACTTTGGGGGGGGGGGATACCAGAACCGGTCAATTGCTGAAATTTTGCTAGCCGCGCAAAATTTGAGTTTTTTTGAATTTTCAAAAACTGAGTGGAAGTGAGCTGAAATATGCGAGCAGAGTTGTATAGTTGCGTATTTCAGATGCTTGGCCCTACAAATATAACATTCTTGAAATGTTTCTTAAATTTTAAATGAAGGATATTTTGGTTCTTTTTCATTACTCGTAGAAATTTCAAGAAAAAATCAGCAACAGCCTGCCTACGGTATATCATATCGAAGAGTATTTACTGAAAGAAGGTTCGGAAGGTTCACAGAGTAGACCTAGTAGGAGCAAGGCACATGAATGAATTAATACTTACAAAACGTTGCAAAAATTACTTCCTGAAGGTTAGATAGTCAGAGAATTTTTTTAATCTCCTAACTTGGGGAATAAAACCATTTCCAAGAATTTTTTTTGTGAAATTAGCTGCATCATAATTTTATTTTCAAAGTTTTGAAAAGATTATACATAGCAAATATGATAATACTGTATTGTCTTCGTCATTATTCACCTCGAATGAGTCTATGTAGTTGAAAAATATTTAGGAGTTACCGACACAAGGCTTTTTGCAATACAAAATTTTTTTTGTAACACTGATCAAAAGGCATTCGGAAGATATACTGAAAAATACAGTCAAAGCAATTTCGCTTGATTTTTTTTCTAAAAATTAGCTTTCTCAAAAAATGTGAGTTATAAGTTGGGTGTGGAGGTTACGCATTTTGCGAATATCGACTTGACTTGCGCTTTTGTTTGACTACTTCAGATTCAGTGGACATACTACCTAATTTTTTTTCGCCTTAAGCAGCATAATTATCATCTAACTTTTGAGGCATGCCGAGTGTTCCTCATAGTGGAGACCATCAGAATCTACATGATTGACTAAAAAGAGACAAATAAATATCTGCTTTTGCTTAGCACGGCGATGCACGAGATCTAACCTACGCATGGGAGATTTTTTTTTCTTTGCGCTGTATGGTCAGTTATCAACACGAAACTACCGTAAAAGCAACGTATAATCTAATGTAATAGTTGCCAGTTCCTCTCGTGTCTTGTTAAACGGCGGCTGCATTGTGCAATCAAATGTTCACTACTAGTCTCCGGATTGACTGTAGGAGGCACGCGCCGAGACCGATGGTTGATGCATCGGTGTGGATGATATGGGGTTTTCCTGGAATAGGAAGCACTAAAACAAGCGCATCCACTAGGGCATGCTTTAATTCTTGGAATGCTATTTCTTACTCCTTGCTCCAAAGAAAAGCTGCATTTTGTTTTGCGAAGTTTGTTCAATGGATGGGAAATTTTAACAAAACGCGGTAAATCTCCAAAAGTACGATCCTGCACTAAGAATGATTTGAGTGCTATTTTTATCTGTGAGGCGCGGAATATTACTAAAGCTTTCGTTTTTTTTTCTTTCACTCTTGCTAAACGGTGCATATCCTAATCTCTAAGCATGTTTTGTTATTCGACAGCAGAAAGTAAATATTACGATAATATAAGTTGCGTAAGACATACGGCAGCGGCATATAGGGCGCAACTGTTGTTGTTGGCTGTATAAGTTGCATAAGAACAGACGCTAAGGGGTCATACCGTGCAAATGTTGTTACTGCCCGTATGTCATAATCGTAAGAGGATAGGTTACGCAATTATTAATCCTGTTCCAAGGCTTATCGCCACACAAAGCAGACGCGAGCTTGCGCTATCTGGCTGGAAGGTCATTCGCTCAAGTAACAATATATTTGTCGCGGGTCACATGCTTACAACTTACGAGGGCCGCTGCGTTGCTTTTTAGCCAAAGGGGGTCACCGC